TTCTCAAACTCATAGGCACGGATGGTCTGCTCCTCCATGGTTTGCTTCACAGATTTATCCGTGTGCTTTCTTCCATTAGGTGTCATCGCGGATGTTTTCAGCTGCGTGTATTTCATCTCTGCAACACTCATCCTGCAATTACTTTTGAACTCAGATGTGCAGCACTATGTGCTGTGGGAAGGATGGTTGGTGCCACTAAAAAAGGTTGTAGGGTGGAGTCATACCTGACCTCTACTTCATAGTCTTGAGCTGATTTTGAGTTTTTCTTCTTGTGAAGCCAGAGGAAGTCAGGCATGGCCCCATATGTTTTTTGTAGCACTAGACTGCTAACTTCAGGCAAGGCCAGCAGTTCAAACCCACCATCTGCTCCTTGGAAGTCCTATACATGATCGGATATGTCAGAACTGACTTGATGACTCTTAGCAACACAACATAGTAGGATCTAAGGAACCTCGGTAGCGTAGTGGGTTCCCAAGATCAGCAGTTTGAATCTACCTGTCACTCCATGGAAGAAAGATGAGGTTTTTGTGAGCTCTGGTAGCGTAGTGGTTACGACTCGGGCTAGGAACCGCAAGGTCAGCAGTTCGAAACTACAAGCGGTTCTGTGGGAGAAAGATGAGGCTTTCTGCTCCAGTAAAGATTTACAGCCTCAGAAACCCTGTACAGGGTCGCTATGGGTCAGAACCAACTCCACAGCACATAATAATAACAACAATAGAAACCCTACACAGGGTCAATAAGTGTCAGAACCAAGTTGACAGCATACAACCACCACTGTAGTAGGGTCTGGGAGCATGATGGCGCTGTAGGATAAGCACTGGACTGCAAACCACAAGATCTTCAGTTTGAGCCCACTAGCTGCTTCTCAGGAGAAAGATGAGGCTTTCTGCTCCAGCGAAATGGGAGGCTATGAGTCAGAACCGACTCAATGTCACTTAACAACATCAGTCATTTTGGACTGTTGTTAAGTGCTGTTGAGTTGGTTCTGACTCACAGTGATGTTAAGTACTGTCGAGTCGGTTCCAACCCATAGTGACCCTGTCATTTTTCTGAGGCTGTAAATCTTTATGGGAGTTTCTGAGGTTTCTAAGGCTGTAAATCTTTATGGGAGCAGAAAACCTTATGTTTCTTCCACAGAACAGCGGGCAGTTTTGAACTGCTGACCTTAAGGTTCACAGCCGATTCATAACCACTACGCTACCAGAGCTCCTTCCTATTGTATATTATATCAATTGACTTAGAAATCCCCTGAGTCTGTGGTCCTAAATCTCCATACCCAGTGACTCATGCCTTCAAGGTGTTTGGTGGTGACTAAGACATTTTCAGGAATGTCCTCTGCTAAACTTAAACATTCATAGTTGTATTCCCATTCATTTCCCTGTATCTGTGTAATTTGCATGTATCTTCTTATAGATATTGCTTGTTGTTATTATTATTACAGTATTGCATATCTTTACTCTTATCTATCTCCTAGTGTCTATTTTCCTCGGCGATTTCTGTGTTTCCTGCTTTGAAAGTGCAGCATTTTTTTTTTTTTTTAAATCATATTTACTAGTTTCTAGCATCCCCTCCAGGCCACTGGAAGTATGTCATACATATATAATTTTAGATAAGAAATGTCCTCCAGGGCCCATTTTCCCAGCTCCACATACCCCCCTCCCTTTTTGGTCTTTACTAATAATTTGTAATACTGAATTGAACTGATACTCCAGCTGGAAATATCAGAAACACTGGAAGCTTATATAGGCATTTTTTTGATGCAACAATAATAGTTGCTTGTTGATTTTCTTTGACTTGATACTGCTCTTAGAAAATCTTATTCTGAGTAGGTTCCTTGATGACATCATTTCTTAAGTGTTCTGTGAGTGAATGATGCTCTCAATTGGTATCAACTGGATTGAAGTAAGCTTGGTTTGGTTTAAACGGATCTAAAACTAAGTCTCCAAGCTGAAATCACCTCTCTCTGGGAATTCCCATCGTATACCTTGTCTGATTTCTTTTTGTTTTGTTTCTTTAACCTTTGGTTCTTGAATGCATCCCGTTTCTCAGATAATAAAAGCACCCTGTCATCATTAATACATACCAGTCGTTTTATGGCGCTGTAGGTTAAACACAAGACTGCAAACCTTGACATCCACATTCAAACTCACCAGCCACTCCTCCAAAACTCTATATAGCCTGTCAGTCAGAACCAACTCAACAGTACTTAACAACAACAACAACAATTGTTTCATGTGGTGTTGTATATTTATCCTTCCTTTTATAGTCACAGTGTCCTATGTGTGCCCAATCTAATGTATTTGATCTCTATTTTTAGGACACTGTGTCTATGAAAGCTATACAATATTTTTTGTGAACGGTGCATTTTTTATTTATGTAAGTGGTGTGGTTCTGTAGTATAAGCACTCGACAGCAATGTTGGCTTGACCCACAAAGTCGGCAGTTCAGATCCACCAGCCACTCCTAGGAAACCCTATATAGAGTCACTATGAGTCAGA